TTTGACTTTCTCCTTTAATACCATCAGTTCTTGATCATATGCCACTTCCTGAAATGGATGAAGATTGACCAGTTCTTTTTGGTACAGTGACTTTGTAGTACTCCTTCCATCTTCTTTTGATGTTTCCTGCATCAGTCAATATTTTGCCCATAGAACATTTCAATTGCCATGCGAGGCTTCAGTTTTTTCCTGAGTTCTTTCAGCTTGAGAAATTTCGAGCATATTCTCCCCTTTTGGTTTTCTAGCTCCAGGTCTTTGCACATTTCACCATAGTAATTGGCTTTGTCTGTGTAGATAGGCACTGCCAAAATCAAAGGCTAGACTACTTCCTAGTAGTGACTGGCCCTTCAGATACATCCAAAGAAGAGAAAGCAAGTAGCCATGTAGTGATTTTTTTTGGAGGAAGGTGGGGTTTGTGGAGCATAAGAATGAGGTAGGTTGGGAGAAGAACCTCCCAAAACCTTAAGTCTAGCAATATCCTTGTTGATTTTGGTCACACACACAGCATGCATCAGGCTGTAAGTATTGTGGGAACTATTCCTGCCTAAAAGGTGTGACATTTAAAATAAGGTTGTTGTTGTTAGGTGCCGTTGAGTCGTCTCCAACTCACAGAAACCCTATGTACAGCAGAACGAAACATTGTCCAGTCCCACGCCAGCTCCATGATCCCTGCTATACTTGAGCCCATGGCAGCAGCCACTGTGACAATCCCTCTCGTTGAGGACCTTCCCCTCCTTCATTGACCCTTCATCTTACCAAGCATGACATCCTTCTCCAGGGAATGGTCCCTTCTGACATGACCAAAGTAGGTGAGACTAAGTCTGGTCATTCTCACTTCCAAGGAGCATTCTGGCTGCACTTCCTCCAGGACAGATTTGTTAGTTCTTTAAGCAGTCCATGGTATTTTCAGCATTCTTCACCAGCACCACATCTCAAAAGCATCAATTCTTCTTTGTGTTGTTATTGTTGTTATGTGCTGTTGAGTCAGACCTGACTCATAGAGCCCCCTCCTTGGGTTTCCGAGGCAGTAACACTATGGAAGTAGATTGCTCCATCTTCCTTCTGAGGAGTGGCTGGTGGATTTGAACTGTCAGCCTTCTGGTTAGCAGTCAAATGCCTCAGGTGCTATGACCAGAGCTCCCTCAATTCTTCTTTGGTCTTCTTTATTCGTTGCCCAGATCTCACATGCATATAAGGCGATTGAAAATATCATGGCTTGTGTCAGGCGCACCTTAGTCCTCAAGGAGACATCTTTGCTCCTCAGCACTTGAAAAAGGCCCTTTGCAGTCGACCTACCCAGTGCTATATGTCGTCTGATGTCCTGAGTGCTGCCTCCATTGGCATTGATTGTAGAACCAAGCAATGTGAAATATTTGAGAACTTCAATCTTTTCTCCATTCATCATGATGCTGCTAACAGGTCTAGTTGTGAGAATTTTGTTTTCTTTATGAGATGTAATCCATACTGCAGACTGTAGTCTTCAATATTCATCAGCAAGTGCTTCAAGTCATCTTCATACAGGTAGTAACCTGTATCAGTGCCAGTGGCTGACTCAACAGATAATTATCACTACTTTAATGGGATAAACAGATAATACCAGAGTCAATTGGTTCAAACTTCATTTATTGTATTTCATGCTACAATAACATTCTTTGGACCATACCAAGGGGTCAGAATTGTATTTAAAGATACTCAGTGGACAGTTCCAATTATTTCATTCATGCATTCATTCACTTTATTAAACAGGTTTATTGAGCTCCTCCCACTCTGTGCTAGGCACTGCTGAGCCATCACGGGCGTGGTCCTTGACGCGATGGAGTATACAGCCTAGTCCAGCTACTGAGGGACTTTAAAATAATTTTCACATCATTTCTACTGCACCTGCATCCGGAACATATCATCCCCTCAAATTCTCCCACGTGGTCCCTGCAGGTAAGTGTGGGTGAGAGCGCGTGCGGCTCGTGGTGTTTGGGGAGTGTAAGAGAGCACGTGTGTCAGAATGGCGCGTGTCACAGTGCGCGTGCATGTGCCGCCCTGGCGCGCGTCTCCATAGCTGCGTTGGCCGCGGCAGGCTAGTCTCTCTCGCCCACTTACTTACTGGAAGCTGCGCGGGAACAACACAGCGGGCGCGATTGTGAGTGAACGCGGTCGGGCGCGCGCGGTCGGGGGAGGGGCGCGCGGGCCCGGGCACCAAGCGCAGGCGCAGAGTGCGAGAGCCTGGCCGCGGCCGCCGCAGAGCGCCGGGGGCGGGAGGAACGCGCGCTGGAGGCTGTTATGGCCGCCGCTGCCGGCTGTTGAGGGGCTCCGCCCGCGAGCGCCCGCCGCCGCCGCGGACGATGGTGACCGCACGGGTAGGTCCGCTGCCGCCGCCGCTGCCACCGCCTCCCAAGACGCAGCAACCAAGGCCTGGCTCAGAGGAGCCGCCGCTGTGAACCGCGCTGTCCCGGCCCCCGTCGCCAGTCGAGAACGGGAGGGTGGGCAAGAGAACCGGGGAGTCGCAGAGCACACCCGTCCGCCCGCCGGCAGGAAAGCCCCGCACCAAGGGGAGCAGCAGCCCGAGGTGACTGCCCCGGCGCCTCTTCCTATCCCGGTGGTCCTCGTCCGCGTTCCGCATCCTCCATCCCTTCCCCTCCCCCATTCTGGCGCCAGCTCCATCTCCCCCTCCGCCCTCTCTCGGGTTCTTCTCTCTCCTCCCCTCCCCACTCTCGGCACTCTCTCCCTCCCACCCACCAGCCCCAAGCGCGAGCCGCGGACTCTGCCCTCCCCTTCCTGCGCCCCGCTCTGAGCCCCCTTGCCCTGCTTCTGGCCGTTGTCGGTGGCTACCTCCTCACTCTCCCCACCTTTTCTCTGTTCCAGGGCCTGGAGGTCCCTGAGCACGCCCTGGCGTTCCTCAGAAGCTCTTACTTCTGGGCTCTACCTCAGTTCCGCTTCTCGAGGCCTTTTACAAGCTCCTCTCTGATCAGCCCTTTACCTCCAGTTTCTATTTCCAACTTTTTACTCATTTTGTGCCTTTGTCCACTTTGCCTCCAAGCTTTCCGCCCGTTTTCCCTTCGCTTCACTCTTTGGTCTACGCATCCCTTTTCGTGCCATTTGAGGATCTTGGGGTGTGTGTGGGGGAGTGCCGAGAGGCCTGTCTAGCAGTTTTTCGAAGAAGGACCCATTGCTCTGCATCCCGTCCGCCTCTTTTTACAGTAAGAGGGCCCCCATCCCTTCCTTTTTTGTCTCCTTTCCCGCAGGCCATCTCTCTGTCCTCCTTCGCCACGTCTGTCCTCAGTACCCAAGACCCCCAAGATCTATGCCTTCCTTGCCTTCAGGAATGAGTTCCCTTTCTGTTTGGGAGTGATGAACTTTGCCTGCCTCTTTCTTCGGAAGTCTTTTAGTTTGTGACATCGTGAAGACAGCACCTTTGGCAAGGCGAGAGGAGATCTCTTGAGCCTTTGCTGGCAGAGTTTTTACTGAACGTAATCCCGTAGTCCCGCGGCGGCAGCGGCTCTGCTGCTGTTGCTGCGCTGCCTGCTTTGCAGGGAAGCTGGGTTGGGGTTACTATAGTTCAAACGCATCTGAGCTCAGCAGGCGTGGGGGAGGAGGTTCGGGGAGAGGAAAGGGGCTTTGCAGTGAGAAGGCATCAAAGATTAATGGATGCCTTTGCATGGCATTCTTTAGTAAACAGGAAACTACCCTGAAAGGGAAGAAAACTGTCTTTTTATTTTTTTAAAACACGGAGTGTGCAATTCTATTGAATTTTGAATGATACCCAAAAGGATGTGCTGTGGGTGCTGCAGTCGTGACCCAGGCCAAGCGCCCAATGGCAGAGGTTTTCTTTCCTCTGACTCCTTAAGTTGAAATATGGCCCTTGTATTACAGTGGTTTCCGTATTTTTGCTGTTTTGGAGATGATGAGAAAGCACCGAATTGCTGGTAGTTTATATGGAAATAGGGTACATACAAAGTTAGTTAGCAACGTGTGCGAGTGGGGAGGACCAGCTACATTTAAAACGTGCCAGTGCTTATGTGAGAGGTGCTTTCTCTTTCCCGGTGTCTTCAGTTTTTGGCTGAGTTTACTTAGGATTTTAGGTTCTGGCTCAGGACTTAACTGTCCTAACAGATTTTGAGATATGTTTTAGCTGATGGTACATTTAAAACAAAAACAAAAAACAGGCTGGGACAAAGGAAGGAGATTTATGTTGAATAAAGATTTTTTTCTTTAGATGGAGGAGAAAGGTGTAGAAGCTTTCAACTCTAGTATTGTACTGAACAATTTTTAATCTAGTCATGTGATATTTGTTTGCCTTGCCAAACTTTTTAAACGAGTTTTTCTAGAAAAGACGTGAATGCTGTTATTTTCTTTTTTGTAAGATTACATCATTTTCCATTTAGTTGAACTTAGTTCTTCAACAGAAAGCAACTGTAACTTAAAAAGAGGCCTTATTTTTTGGTCAGGGTAATTTGTTTGATTTCTTCATAATAAAACCAAAAATCTGCGTTTTCATGAAAATGTAAGATATGAGGCACCCTGTGTTTACTAGCCCACAAATATGAATGGTGAACAACTGTACAATGACATTATTGTGTATATAAGTAGTGATTGTTGCTTTCCAGCCTGGGAAAGTCATTTAATGAAATCATTGTGGTTTTATTTTTGGTTAGCATTTCTTGAGCCATTCTTGGGGTTTTTGAAAAGAATTTTCTTTTTTTTTTTTTTTTTAAGTTTTCATTGTCTAAAGCATCTTTGAGTCATGTTTGTTTAATTTATGATAACTTGCAGAGATACCGTGTTGGACTATTACTATCCCAGTTCTGTTCACAGTTCAAGGAGAAGATTTCTTTCCTTTTTTCCTTCCTTTTCCTACTTCATACAACATGTGAGTCAACATAGAGGCTGCAGACTTACACATAGTGCCCTGCTTCTTCCATGTGCCAATTTATCTATATTAAAGGAATAATTTGATGACTGTTGCTCTATTTTCAAGTCAGATTACAGGAATATCAAACTAAAATTTAATTTTTCAAGCAAACATAATTTGCATAGAAGGTAAAAAGTGTCAAACTTTGTAAGGCCAGAAGTAGTTAATATATTTGCCTTTTGAATGTGTCAGGCCTTTAAATTTTCTTTGCCTTCAGTTCTTCTGTTAATATTTTGGTTTTAAGAGAATTTTGAATTCCTTCTAACTTTAGTTTAAAATATGCTTATTAGCTCAGTCTGACAAAAATGATAAATTAGGCTTGAACCAAATTTAGAGATATAATCTCTATTTAGGAGACAAGGCTCCATTTTTCCTTCATGCTAGTAATCTAGCAATTTGGCAGGAGCTGTGTATAATTTCAGGTGTCTGCTGACAAGATAAATATTTCAAAATTTTGTTTAGTTATTGGCTTTAGTGTGTGATGCTAGAGTGTTGTGTATAGTACTTATTTGTGATAGTCAACAACATGTCATGTGCCACTTGTATTTTAGAAAGGTTCAAAACCTTAAGGTTTTGGGGAAAAAATGGTTTATTTTCTCTTTTCCTTTTACAGCTCTTCTGAGTAATTTAACTTGATTTTTCCATGGATTAAATTTGCTTGCACATGACCAGTTTACCAATGACTTTCTAAAATATCACTGATACACTAAGTGGAACATTCAATAAGCAATAAGTGTATTATTGGGTATTTTTCATTCTATCCAAGATCCTCTTTATTGAGGCATTTGAGTCTTCAGTTTACTGTGCAGTAGAGTTTGGAGTTTTGTGTTTTTTCTTGGATAGCTTTAGAGACCCAAGATTTTCTTTTTATCCTTATTTGTAAGGCGGGGGAGTGGTGAGGGTCATTAAGAAGGAACATGTACCATTCTGCTAATGGGCGCCTTTTGTAGTAGAGGTGATCTTCACTAAGAATTCCCTAGCAGTTCAGATCCTGATTTCTAATGCAGGATTTGTTATTTGTTTACTTAAAAACAATTTTTTTAAACCCCTTTAAGAGCTACAAAAAATGGTAGATGTTTTTAGAAAAAGAAATAATTGAAAACAGGTAAGCTCTTCAAGTCAGGTGAAATAACTATGGACTGCAAGTAGTATTAACTCAGAAATAACATTTTGTGTTACTTACAAAAAGAGAAGTAGGTTTGTATTGGATTCTAAAATATGGAAAAACAGTTCTTTTCTTTTTTGATACATGGAATAGCTACAAATGTCATCAGTGCTGTTATTATCTCAGTGCATGGTAATTTTCACATACATTAGTGAGTGGTTCCTGAGAAAAATTAGTCTTTCATGTGCTTTGAAATAAAGTAAGGGTTTGTGGAGTTAGCAGTTTGACTAATAAAGTAAGAAGTTATTTTCTCTGTATGTCCTTAGACACATTGCACTTTTTCCCAACAATTTATTTTTTAAGCCCCCAACGTAATGATGAAATTAAAAAGTGCATTTTCTATAAAATTTGACAAATACAAAAAGATAGAAAGAAGGGTATAAAAAAATGACCCCTGGCCCCACTAGCAAAAGAATGTTACTATGAATATTTTAGTGTATTTCTTCCCACAATTTTATTTTATACTATCATGTGGCCTTTGAGAATTTAGTTTAGGTTCCTAAATGCTGTCATTTGCAGTAAATGTTGATAAGAGATTTTTTTCCTATTGGCTTTTCCTCCTTAGGACATAGCTATTTGTTTTTGATTCTCTCACAGTATTATTTTTCTCTTATATATAAAAATTATTAAAAACTTGTTCATTTGAAATAATCAGAATTACAGTATTTATAAAATAATTTTGCATTATTTGTTATATATATATATATATATA